TCTGCGACATGATCTGAAAAAAACAGTTATGTACGTTAGGATTGAAGAATTTTGTGAGCGTATATACTCAGTGAATTGTGGTATTTTATTTACCCATCATAGCCTTCAGAACGTCTTGGTCCAGCTGAGGCTTTGCCTTAGCTTGGACCCTCCACATCGGATCAGAACTGGCCACTCTAGGGCACTCCGTCCCTGTCAGGGAGTGAGTGGCCAGCTCATACTTATGGAAGCAATTGTCCACAAGAAACAGAAAGTAGTCCTTCATGCTTGTGGAAGTCTTCGACGTCCCCTGATCAACGTCAGTCTTCTTCTTCTTCTTCTTACTCTTCTTGGTGCCGCACAGTGGTCGGAAAGGCCCGATTAGCCCGCCAAAATTCGTTTAAGTCAAGTTGGGCCAGCGAAGTCCCGACTTGTCTCGTCGAATAAGCAATGATTCACTAACTCTGGCGCGAAATATTTCCAAAATTGGCCGAACGGTTCCGGAGATATGGCCCGACAAACATGACCGTCTCTCTCTTTGAGCTTTACCCAGATTTGTCATATCCAATTATTAAAGACGCTGGGGTCCCCAGTGGAGGCCGTGGGTGGACTCTGTCGCTTGCGTCTGATTCTTCATGATAGGAGCATACTTTCTCAGTGTTTTTCGTCCATCCCAACTAACCTACTTTGTCCTAACAGTCAATATTTCCAAATCATTATTTATTGTACTTTTGTGCACTTTTGATAGGACCGCAAAACTTTGTGTCGCGATGTGTCAACCGGATACCAGCGTTAAATTGTTCCTTTGGGTACTAGTAACAAAGTACAACAGAGTTTACCTGCCACTTTTTGCCACTTTGGGTACAAATGGGAGACAAACATGATCCAAACCCTACATTCAGCGCGCGCTGATGCGAGAGAAATCCATAACATCTCAGCCAAACCTTGTCCGATTGTGCTCAAATGACAAATAATCATACGCTTTCGCTATTTTTCCAAATTCAAACGCATTTATCTACATTTTCTCGATTTTTCCCTATTTTCTCCGAATATTGGAGAGAATTGTCGAAAATGGGTGAAATTCGTCGGAAATCGTCGGAAATCGGATAAAACCGGAAAAATCAGGGTAACACCGTTTGAAACGGCATCAGCAGTACCCAAAGCCCCCGTACACGAGTTTTTACGCTTGGGGGACCGGCCTTAAGCCTTGACAATATGTGTTAACTAATTTACGGATGCCCCCTCGCAAAAAATACCGTTAGATTCGGTATCAGCGGTACTCAAAACCTCCGTACACGAGTTTTAACGTTGATACTAGCACTCCTTCTATTTTGGCGGGCTAATCAAGCCTTTCCGACCACTGTGTGCCGGGAGGTGCACAATCCTCAAGAAATCGCTTCCTCTCCATTAACTTTTTGTGCACCCATCTGTCTTTGAAACAATAATGTGTCTGAAATAGATTTTAAAAATTAAAAGAAATGAATACAAGCACAAATGACATTAGTGATGAGGTAGTATGGAAATTAATCATGCGGC